CGTCTCTATCTCTGTTTGCAATTCAATTCCATTGTTGCCGTCACATCTTGGCGGTCTTATATACAAGAATACCGCACATCTAGTACACACTCGAGCATTCAAGAACCTTCGAGAATATCATGACGTGTTACTAGGGTCACGTGACTTCCGCTGTCGTAACAATACTTTACAGATGATTCGTCTCCATTTAAAATGTTTAATGCGGGAAGTTTATCTTGTCTGTATGTCCCTCCTACTATAGTACTTGTTTTTATGTATTAATTGTTTCCATTCGTTAAATGGAAATGTTCATTTTTCAATCCTAATCAGTTACATGTATGTATATATTTAACTTTAACATTTTACTGTTTACATTTACACATTATCAAAATTTTGGCGAAAAGGATATACATAAAAATATTTTAAATATATCTAAATATAACATAAATTTTTCTTATTTGACCTTCCTGCATTATTCATATTACTAGAACATTTCGAAATCTTCTTCTATAAGTTATAGAGAGGTAAATAAGTATTGGCAGTGTTTATGTTAAATACTGAAACAAAAAAAAAGGAACTTTGAGTAGGTAGATAAGTAGTTGTTTAGTTCATGTTAAATCACCAAACAAAAGTAACATGAATATCCAGAGAGCGCTGCTCTTTTGACTTCGGAAGAATGGCCGGTTCTGTGAGGGAGGTGAAAACTAAGGACGAGTTTTGGAAAATAGTAACTGACGTTAATAAGTAAATACATATTTATTTATGTACACATCGAACAAATTATTCTAACTAAGTGTTGAGTTGTTGAAGAAGGTTTAAGGAGGGGATGGTTGGGTTTAATACTTTAGTTTAGATCTGTACATTGATGATTGAGCTTTACTTTTAAATTTAACTTAGGAAGTACTGATGGGTATTTGGGGGATCAGGGTCTAATGGTTAGTTTCCTCTTAGATGAGGAAAGTTAGGTGTCAGGGTATCCTAGGTGGTAAAAAAAAACACGTCGTTTTGTTTTTAGCCCAAATATATATTTATTTATTTATTGCTAATATATTATTATTATTATTATCAATTAGCAATATTTGCCTATGATTATTAAGTCAGTATAGAAGAATCTTTTTCAGTTTTTGTCACATCACATTATTGAGTATAGCGTAGTTTGATGTGTGCATATAAAATTAAAAAAAATTAAAAGGTTTTGAATTTTAGAATATTCTATCAAACTAATTTCAAACAGTTTTAATGTCATTTGAATATTTCAATGTTTCAAAACTGGATGATGTAGTGAAGTGACAATACTTTTGGGAGGTGTCAGATACAATGATATAAAGTGAAAACTAGTACACCTTGCTTATCACATGCTCAACTTTAGTTTGTAATCAAGTGATCAAGATATGTTTTTACGAACATGTAGTTGAACTTGCTCAGTGAACTTAATGAACAATGCACAGTACACTGACTGAAGCTCAACTGAGAGAGAGACTGCTGGGGTACCGCGTGACCTTTTGTCACTGCTCAGCAACTTGGAATGTAGCGAGTTATGCCCCTTTCACCCCGGGTATACTTTACTGTGCATGCCACAAGATTTTAGTGACTTACATTCAAAATTTTATTAAACTACATTTTGTTTATGCTATAGCAATTAGTGTAGCATAAAATCTAAGCTAATAATCCATATTTGGATGGTATATATAAGTTTTGAGTTCTTAATCCTATAAGACATTATTTTTAAAAATCCTGAATTTCTCCTAGTGTGACAAATGTAACACATTTTCTCTAAGTATATTCTCCTCTCTATTTTATCCCCCCCCCCAAAAAAAAAATCTTGAAATTCAATGTAAATTACTCACTATAAAATCAGCATTGGTCAGATAAACCATAATTTTTATAGCCTCCAATTTTTTTTGGTTACAGAGCTATCAAATGAGAAAATCAGACCCCTCCAGTCACATACTCTTTCAGAATTCGTTGATAGTTCTCTCTCTTAAGTTTAATTATATATCATCTACAACCAATAGAAAGTCAATATTTGTGTCTATCAAATGATTACAATGTATTACACTGTGCTCTGAACAGATACATATATATTTCTCTTATTATAAACGAAATTTTCCTGTGAGGAAGTTAGCTGTTTGCTTGTGAGAACTTTTCTTGCATATTTCGAAAGTCTGAATATTTTTCAGGGATGCCGAATTATATCAAATTCTGAGTTATCAAAGGATTACCGTATTCTTCTTGTGGATAAGGTTTGAATTTTAAATAAATAAGGTCTGTGTATGGATTTTTGTTTAGAAAGCTTTGCCATTTTAATTTTTTTATCCCTAATTTCATGGCTTAATCAGGCCTAGATTAGTGATAAATGTGAAATGTGTAACATCTCGAAAATGTACTTGAGTGATATCTTTAGATTATGGCTTTTTTTTTGAGAATATGTAACTTCAGTACCTTTGACTATTATTTCCATTTTTTTGTACTATTTCCAATTTTAAAGCATAGGAAACAAATATAGAACACCATGGAAAACTAGATGATCCTATGCTTCCTGTTACTGTAAAGTGAAAAGATGTTTCATGTGTTATAAATGTAGTTGGTATGGGCGTGTCCGCAATGAGATATCCTTTGAAAGAAAGTTATCAGGGAAAAAAGGCAAAAAAGAGTTTTGAGAAAATAATTAAGAAAGATTCTTCTGCTGCTGTTTCTTAGAAAGTTAAAGCTGTTTTTTTTATTGGATCTTGGAAAGTTGTGAATGAGATTTTACTGAAGCTCATCCATTGTTACCTTTGCTAAAACCTTTTGTGAAGGTCATCTTATGCACTTTGTCTGTTATTCAGATGCTTCTGATTATGATTTATACTGAAATATCACAGTTTCTGACCAAGTTTATGCTGAAAATAGCAAATGACTTGTTAGAATAAGTCAATTTTGATATTTATTTAGAAGTTGTAAAAAAATTAGTTTAAATTCTGCTGATTTTGGTATGTTTATAGCGAAGTCTAAACGAATCCACAATCAGCCAGTCAGATTAGACAATGAGAAAAATTTAACATGTTTTAAATATTTTGGCTTGCTTAAATTGAGACTTCATGGTTAACTGATAAAAATTTATTTTTTGAAGAGGGATTCTTATGGAAAAAGATAAAATAGATGTTATACATAATAAATTTAAGTACCTAATGTACATGTGATAGTGATAACTATATCTAAACGTAATTAGTGGTATGCATGAAAAGTACATATAGAAAGTTATTTCATGACTGGACAATTAATACTTCAAGCTTTTCTAAAAGTCAGTGAGACCCCTTATGAATTTGTAACTTTTCTTTAGAAATCATCTAAATGTTGTCCATTTCTGGGCTGAATGGGCATCCCAGTGCCAGATGATGGATGATGTTGTGAAAGAACTTACAAGTGAAAGGCAACTAAAAGAAGTTAAGTTCTTAAAGGTGAGATTTGTTAAATTTTGCATAGAATTACAGGTAAAATATTAAAATCCACAAACAATGTTTTATGATACACAATTCAAATCTTTATTTAAACCAATCACTGGTTGTAAAAGTCAATCTACTTGTTTGAACGTGGTTTTAAACTGAAGTTAAAGGAATGGCTAGTCACATTAGGAAACAGGTTATAATTTTATTTTATTCTTTAATTTTGGTATAAAGAAGAATCCATCAGGGTGATTAAACTGCAATTTTTGTGTTTTAATTTCTTAAAATGACAGTTGGTAGAGCCTGTTCTTAATGATTTTTAGTGGTATTTTTTATTTTAAAAATATATCACCAAATTTTTCAGTGAAGAAATGTAACATTGAAATTTAACCTCTTCATTTTTTCCTAAGCCATTCTTAATGACTTATGAAATCCAATTTAAATTTATTCCATGTAAAGTAGTTTTAAATAAAGCTTCATTGAAGTTAGAAAAGGTCATATCATTTCTTTGCCGAGACAGCACTTAGGAACTGGTGCTGAACTCTAGCTTTATTGGCACAAGCAGATGATAATGGTTACATATTCCCCTGGAGAATATGCCAGTCCATTGCCAGTAAAGGCAGATTACTTGGTTGCTTCATTGTATTTCTGCATTGATAGTAACTAAAAAAATACTATTCTGAAAAGATATCGTACCTCCTCTCACAAAAAGCTTTCTCGACTTATACTCTCCTCTGTTGGCACAAATTTTCAATCACCATTAGCCTTGATAGTCCCACTTATCTCTACATACCAACATGCAAATGATTATGCACCAACCCTCCACCAATAGGAGTATGACAGTACCCCTTTCGTAACTAGTGTCCTCTAATCTTATAGCCATTAGCCTCTCCACAATTTTTTTACTTTCTTAATTTTTCTACTTCAGTTACTTTTAATGGTTGGAGACGGCTTGAATGGGTAATAAAGAAAAGCTTTAATATAAGTTTAACATAACAGCAAGTGTACAAGGTTTTGTCATCATCAGGTACAAGTAATTTACACTGACACGGATGTATATACACGGTATTGAACAAAGAGGTCACATGACTGAATACTGTTGCAAAACTTAGAAGAGATATCTTGGCACCCCGGGGTGTTGGTTTAGAGTAGGGTTGTTTTGTTCAATTAAGATGGATTCCTTGATTTTTCGATTGTTTATGTTGGGTTCTTTGTTTTAGTCTCAAAGTGGGTTTCTCGTCATCGAATTTCAGTTACTTTGTTATTTACTGTTTTTGTTCTCTTGTGTGAAGAGTTACAAATTATTTATCTTCTCTCCTCGTTCAGTCTTGTGAGTTATGCAATTGCAGTTTCAAGTGGCATGTCTACAACTGCTGTTACTGCTGCAGTGGAGACAACATTCAATGGGTCAAAAGCATGATTCTCTACTCGTGAAGTGATGGCTCTGGTCTGTTGGGAGTTGACCAATTTCATGCAACAATCAGAACAAATTGATGATTGTCCTATCATACCTGCTTAAAGTTTCAATGATCAGGAAGTTTTGGATTTGGTCAACCTTTTTCCCCTTCCTGAATGTGCCTCTCAGTTGTGTATAGTTTCAGGAGGACTTGCCCTATGGTTGGATTGGTTATTCAGATATGTTATGTCCTTATCTCTGATTTCCTATGGTTCCACCCCTGCCTTTCTCAGGGATGAGCCTTTGAGTCATTATTTAGAGTTTTCTCCTTCCCTGGATATTGTGGTTCATGCGAGTTGATTTGGAGAGCATTTGCATATGGGGGTCAGTATGCCTCAACCCCCACTTACTGTGGACAATCATACTTTTGATTATCATTGGTCCGACTTCCCTTATTTGTACTCAGAGTTTGGTGTTGCTTTTCCCTTAGTGGGGATTGGACCCCAATAATTTGATTACCTTTTCCTGTATTCGTCTTACTCAGACCACCATTCTCAGGTTAGAGCTGATGGTTGCCAGACTCTTTCAATGTGCCCCACATTTGTAGGCCCTTGGTTGTCAATCCATGGGTTCTGAAAGTTGTTTTAGTATGTCTGGTCCTCTACTTCCATTCATCTCCCCCATTGTCTAACAATCCTATTTCATTTCCTCCTCCTTGGGATCCCATTTTTTGCCTGCCTGTTTCATTCCAGGGGCCTTCGTTTCCACCATTACATGGACGTCTGGCTGCTTCTTGCCTCCTCACCAGAAGACTCAGCCCTACATCCTCAGTTTCTTCTCTAGGATGCTGTCATGGTGGGTTGGCTCAGGATGCTTTTCAACTCCTTCCTCCATTGGGCCCTACCTGCTCAATTTTAGTTGGGAGCTATGGAATGTTTCTTGTGCAAAATTTCATCCTCTGCTTCTCCTACTGTGTGAGAGTTTCTGTCTCTTTTGGAGACATGGGCTTTTCTCAAAGCCCGCATTCCTCTTGGTTGGGTTGGTATCTGTATGCATATCCTCCTATTCATCTCCTCACACGTGTCCTTGCCATACTTCAGACCACTCTGTAGTGTTCTGCAGGTATCTCTGTATGGGCTGGCTGACACAGGGTTTCCACTGCAGTGTTGGATTTTGGTGTTGTCTCCCCCTTTTCCTTTATCTCCGACACTCCTCCATCAGCCCCACTCTGACAAGTGTCATCTGTCCATACCTGCACTCCATCTTCAAGCGTGACTTTGTCTGGTCCCTCACCTGAAGGGCTCAACTTTCCAGTGTAGCTTTCTTCGTTTCCCACCCTGTTTGTCCTTCTTCTATGGCGATTTACCAGTGTAAATGGTACACATACTGCTGTTGGTTTGTCTGAAGGAGTTATAGTTCTTCCCATCCTACTGTTCATCACGTAACATCCTTTTTGTCTTGACCTTTTGAACAGGGCTTTTTGGTTTCCTCTGTTATGGACTATAGGGTGGCATTATCTACCACGTTTTGGTTTACTGAACTTGCTTCCCTTCCTGATTAACACTTCAATGTGGTCCTCCATGCTCTTCCCAGTCCACCATTTGAATTTTTGTCTTGGTATGTGTTATACCACTTTTCCTTGAAGTTCCTGTTCTTGCTCTTGTTGGTGTGTGCAAACACTGTTGTTCTGATGTGTTCGTGATTGATGTTCACCACATTTTGTTTAATAGTTCCTATGTTATCCTCTTTCCAGAATGTTCTAAGATTTTGGGTGTTTAAGGGGGAAATTTTACCTTCACATCTTTTTCTCTTCCTTCCATTTCCTAATTTTATGACCATTCCAATCCTGCCCACCTCCTTTGCCCGGTTAGGGCTCACCAATGGTATATGACACGTATTGTTCCCTTCCATGATTCCATTTGTTTATTCTGTAGAATCCTCACCTCTCTAGTAACCATTTTCCCTTTAACCTTACGGGTAGAATTTGCCATTTTATTCACCTGGCATTTTCTTCCCTTTTCTCTTGATGATTGTCTTCTTTTTCATGTTAACATTTTCTTAAACTGAAAATGTATTTCAGATAGATACTTACCTATCTCACATTTCTCATCCATCCTCTCCAGTTCTGTTGTGGTTTGGTGTGACATGACCAAGCTCGAAGTGGTTAACAGCCACAAAATTAGAGAGGGTGCTAGTTGCGATAGGGATGGTGTTGCATTCTTATTGGTGGAGGGGTTGCTGCATAATCATTTGCATATTTGTTTGCAGAGATAAGTTGGAGTATCAAGTCTAGCGGCAAGGGAAAATTTGCACTGATATAGGGCAGTATAAATTGAGAAAACTTTTTGTGAGAAGATGTAAGTATCTATCGGGAAATACAATTTAAATTTAAGAAAATATTAACTTTAGTCACTACTGTTATGATTTTATGATAATTTTATAATTTTGGGATGTAACATTATCATCCATTTATAATTAATGTCAGTTTCTACAAAGAAATTTAGCATGACTACTTAATTCTATTTTACTTTTAACTTTAAATCTAAGTGAAAAAAGTATTTCTCATATTTTTGTGTAGTGAGCTTTGATTTGTTTAGCACAGAGTAATTTCATTTGCTAACAATAGACATAAAAACAATTATTGGATACCTTCTGTTCATTATTTCCATAATATTTTTTCAGTAACCTTTCAGTTGAGCTAATTCAACATAGTTATTCTAGGAAGAGTTACCTGTTAGTACAAATAGTATTTTAAATGTTTTCATGTTTAACTTAAAAGTATACACTACTAAGTCAGTACATTAAAATGGTCTTAGAAAATGTTAGCCTGCTTGGTAAACTTTATTAAAATGAAGTTAAAATAAACTGTTAAAATACAAGTTCATAAAAAAAAATGCTGATACTGTTATTTTCTGTATTCAGTTTAGCTTAATTGTGGACATTTAATGTAATACAGCAGTACGAATAATACATGAATTGATTTTAATTTGTTTTAGTTTCTTTATTCCTTTATGAATAAAAACTGTTTGTTGTTTTCATATTTTGGCCTCTGTGGTTTTTGCAGGTTGAGGCTGAGGCATTACCGGATATATCTCAGCACTACAGTGTTACATCAGTCCCAACATTTCTTTTACTAAAGGTAAGAATTTCTCTAAAACATAAGCAGCAACAGATAACTTGTATACGAGTTTTTCATTTAGAGAAGAGAAGGGTTCATTTGAACTTCAAATTTCAACTCTGAGTCAAATACTCAAAATATATCTGCAAAATTTATATACTTAATAGACAGGTGTTAGTTATATATGAGATAAAAAGAATAAGATACAAGGTTTATTATGATTCATTGAAAAGGTGGAAAAAGAAGAAAAATGGCATATAGTAATTCAATTTATTTTAGTGTAAGATGGCCAGTAATGTTTGAATAGTTATTATAATTCTTCCATAGAAATCATAATTTAGGTTGTTATTTATCACACTGCAAACTTTACTTTGGAGATTAATACACTTCTTCATGAGGGGTAATGTCACTACTAGATTGAGGTTTGCAGTTATAAAATTATATTTGTATTTCAGTATTTGATGCAACTTGTATTATAAAACAAATAGTTGTTACTTTAGGACTATATATATACACATACACAGATGTATTAGGTCATCAATAAATTAATGTTGCATTATGAAACACTTTCATTACCCCCCCCCCAAAAAAAACAACGTACATCACATATAACAGTTAAATGAACCACCTAAACGTCATGTTAGTGTAGCCTATATAATGTGTAAAGTTTAATGTACTCTAATCCCTTATAGTGATGGCACATGATGAAACACACATTCAGCATGTGATGCTGTTTAAATACAATAAGGGAGACAATGCCTCTGTAACTACAAAGTATCCCACTCCTCATCTGAGGCTTTGGCTCTGCACAGGGGTGTTCCACACTTTTCCAGTCCAGAGTTTGTACACCAAGCCCCATGAACCTTCTTTTCACCTCCACCGTTTGCAACTTTCTCTACAGTATGCTACCAAGCTTTGATCTATACCACAGGATCCCACCTGAGGTTGTGTCTTTCTTCCTCGGTGGGCCATGCTCTTTCAGAATAGACAATCTGCAATTCCTTCTTTTGGCCTTCGTATCGAGGCACGACTGGATGAATTTGGTCTGGCATTGGATGACATTGCTATTCACAATGATCAGCCTATTCCACCATGGCTTATTACTATCCCCAAATATGACCTTTCCTTGAGTAATCTGAGGAAGGCGGATACTCCTGATTGGAAGTACAATCTTCTCTTTAGCAAACATCTTTCAAACCATCCTTCTATTCCAGTTTACATGGATGGTTCGAAATACGGTGATTCTGTAGGCTCTGCCATGGTTTGCTGTGGCTCGATAGTTGCTCGCAGGATCCCCTCTACAGTTTCTGTGTTCACTGCCGAGTTGTATGCTGTTTCTCTTGCCATGGATCATGTAGAAGCTATACAGTACACTGACTGTACTATTTACACTCACTATCTTAGCTCTCTACTAAACCTGGAATTGCTTAACATTAGTTCTCACCATGATCTAATCGGTATTCAACAACGACTGGCCCATTTTTCTTTTATCTTCCATTATTATCCAGTTTTTCTGTATACCTGGCCATGTTGGTATTTGTGGGAACGTGTTCACTGACACTGCAGCTTGGTCTGTCTGCTTTGGTGCTGTCACAGCCGTGCCTATCCCATATATGGGCTACGGTCCTGTACTGAAGGCTCGGCTTTGCACCATTTCGCAGCGGACTTGGAGTGAAAAACGTCATAACAAGCTTTTCCAGATAAATCGTTCTGTTGTTCTTTGGCCATCTTGTTTCCATAAGTATCAGAAGGAGGAAGTTGTCTTGGCTAAGTTATGCATTGGTCACAGTTTTTAACTCGTCGTTTTCTTTTATGAGGGACTTATCCACCAATGTGTGACCTTTGTGACACTCAAGTCACAAATAGCCCACATTTTATTGTCCTGCCATCGTTATGACTCTGAGTTATGGCACCATTTTATACACGTTTTCTAAGGGTTTAGCCCTGATATTGGATCATGTGATTGACGATGGTGACACTGTCCAACTTGATTTTATTTTTAAATTTTTATGAGCCATTGGTCTTTTTAATTTGATTTAAATCTTTTATCTGAATTTTGGACATTGTTTAGTTTTCACTCGATTTATTTTTACATTTTATAAAAATTTTACTTTAACATTTTTTACCAGTTGTTTGTCACAGACAGCCTAGTTGTTTTGTGCCAAAAAATGCCAAACAACAACAAAACCATTAAAGAAAACAGATGGGAAAAGGTTAATGGGCTTCAGGGTTAATCATATTAATGACCCAGCTCTAATTATAACCATTTAATTAATATATATATATATATATATATACATATGTAATGAAATATATTTCTTACATCACTTGAGAGTAAATGTATATGTAATTTTGATTAATATTTTGTATCTAATATAAATTCAAATTTTCCTATCAATTGATATTTAATATTTTAATATCACAAATGAATTAATAATGTAATTCTAAGATAATGTAGTTTCTTGTATTTTACGAATTAATTTGGTAACATGTTAACGACACATATGCATGCACACACACACACACACACACACCAGTGAACTATTCTTAGCTTTTCATTCATTTGACTTATACCAAAATTCTATGTAATATACAGATATATTGTTCCTGCATAAATATTGTTATTTCTTCCACCAGGGAAACACAGTGGTTGATAAGGTAGAAGGAGCTGATGCCCCTACTTTAACAAAGAAAGTACATCAACAAGCAACAAAAATGATTGTACAACCTCCAGCAGAGCCATCACCTTCAATAGAAGTATGAAATCTATATTTAAGTAGCCTCTAATTAATTAATGTAACTTTTTATTTCAGAAAACATTCAATCATTAATTAGCAATTATAAAATATCTCGGTGGTGAAAAGTTATCATGAAGTTATTAGATTGTTGAACAAAACACCTGTATTAGGCACATATGGTTTTATTTTGGAATCACAGGATTGCCTAGTATTGATACACTAATTATGAAGATTAGTTAGTATGTTTTAAGATATATTAAAAATCTTATGATTTCAAGACATATGTAATAGTGTTTTCACAGGGTACCCATCTGTCACAACTGTTACTCGGTTCTTAAAAAATTAAGTTATGCAAAGTATAAGTCAAAGTAATGTAAACAGAGCTGCAGACAAACTATTATTTTTCAGAGAAAAGAAAAACTCAAAAGTCAGAAACAAGCAAAAAAAAGTCAAGACACAGAGAGTGAAGATGGAAGTTGATGCAGTCGTAGTGATACAGACTTAGATGAAGTTCTAGTGGTGGGCAAATTTTAACAGTGTACAAAAATCCTCAAGTACCTTATAAATCAAGTTATTGAACCATCCATTATACTCTTAAAAGTTGCTTATACCATACTAATTTTTACCTTTTCTATTGACAATAATGAATATAGGAGACAAAGAACCAGTTAAGTAAGCAGCAAATTTTGAATAGTCCATTTAAAATTTTTCATTGTTAAATGATTATTGGCTGATTCACTAAATGCAGTCAGTTCATTGTTATCTCCATTTTATGGCACAGCATGATCAACATTCTAGGACAGAAATGAGGCCTATCATTCATAGGAAACTTTCAAACCTGTGTGATTTGTAAGAGTAAATACTATAAATTATTGTATCAATATAATTATGATCTTCCAAAAATTTCTATGTTTTTGTATAACTAGTTTAACTAGTTTCATCTGTAGCTAGCTGCTGCTTGTTATAATTTGAGGTATCAGGATGTGCCGATTGTTGCTATATAGTCGTTGTTTTACTTCACTGCAATTTAAGTGAGAATGTCTTGTAATCTCTCAATGTGTGTTATACTGTCAGTGCTGTAGATGCCGTAACATCCGTCTGTATGTAAACATGCAAATGTACAACCTAAGTGTCATCATCATGTAGAAATGTTGCATGTGCAGTGCAAGTATTGTGTAATGACAGTCAGCCAGGATGAACTGTTAAAGATTACTTTGTTTCCTTACCAATATCAATAAGTTAATAGCATGCAATTGAAGAAACTATTGGAAGCTTTATACTTTGATATTAATTTCATAACCACTAAATTGGTGGTCATTACTAACTGGTGAAAAGTTAAAAAATGGAGAGATGTGTTTGAATTTGTTTCAGTACCTCAATAGTGAGAATACATATGGTAGCCTATACTTTGCAGGCCTATGCTATAGTATACATGATGGCTGCAAAAAAGTTTTGGGATTAACATCTTTTCATTTTTCATTTATAATTATATCATTTACTGTTTTCTTTTACTTTTTCATCCAAACATTCATAATTTTTTATTATTGGCAGTTTTAGATATGCTTTTGCTAGAAAAATAGACAACATTGCACATGAAGTAAACTTAAACTGTGTGGCAATGTGGTTCATATTGGCTTGTCTTCTGAATATTAGAAACTGTTGTGTCGATAGTGGTTGGAAATTTATTGGGTACCCGGATACCTGCCCGAGTTACCCTTCCGGGTAGGATTTTTGGTATCAATTCAAACACAGATATGCATATTTTTGATGTTTGAGATCTAAACGTGTCTTGAAGTCAATGATGTATTGTAAGTATTGTAAATTTAAGCATGTTTAAATTTTTCTTCAAACTAAGTTTTAAAATGTTTTTCATAAAATATCTCAAGTATTAAATCTGTTGAGGTATTTTATGTAAATGCTTTTATTTACAGTGAACACTCAGAAAGTTTGTGTGTGTGTGTGCATATTTATATATATTGTGCTTTATGCTGTGTTAACAGTTTTGGAGTTTTGATGTAATATTATAATAATAATTCAGTTTACTATAACTGGCAGTAAATCTATCCTATGAAGTATCTGAGCTTTATGTTATCTAAAAGTTGTACATTGAAAACTAACTTCATAATTTGAAGTACTCCACAATCTTAATTGTTTTCTTTACTTTCTTCAAGCCCCCCAGTGGCACAGCGGTATGTCTGAGGACTTACAATGCTAGAAACCGGGTTTCGATACCTTTGTTGGGCAGAGCACAGATAGCCCTTGTGTAGCTTTGTGCATAATTAAGAAACAAACAAACAATACTTTCTTCAAATAGGTTTTGAAGTTTTTCTGAAAATGTATCTTAATATTTTGTTAATTCATAAATCTTGCTCTAAAATGATCATTTTTTATTAGAAAGCTGATAGTGTTGTAAATGCATAACTTTTTAAAATGATTTTTGTATTAAAAGTAATTATATGTAACAACATGAGCAGTCAAGAGCATACAATTCTTTCTTTTTGTTGAGTTTAGATCCTTCAGTGCATTATTAAGAAATGTTAAAAACAATTTTTTCTCCTTGTTGTAATTTTGGTAACATTTTATCACATTTAACTTCATGTAATATTTACTTCTACTGTTTTACAGAAAGTATTTTAAGCAGTATTATACGATGTTTTCAGTTTAGGTCCTATAAAGCAATGTGTAGATTGTACAGTTTGAATGAATAAGGTTGTACACATTTTTCAACTTAATTTAGTTCAGAGTACTGATTAAAATAACCCATTGAGATATGCAAGTTTTTTAATTGCTTGGAGTTATAAAAAAACATTGTTCAGATTATCCTTTAGCTTCTGATTTTTGATAAACACTTTATATTATTATACTGTATACAAAAGTAGAATATTGTATATTAAGTCATTTAAGTTATATTGAATGTTGAAATAATGACTAATAGAGTGTTTTCTTGCAGATTATTTTGTGGGTGAATTTGTTGTAAACTTGTAAATGCAAGTTATTATTTGTCTAGTGAATATGATCAATGTCATTTTGATCTTTCAGGATCTGAATTCAAGGTTAAAAAAACTTGTCAACACAGCTACTTGCATGCTCTTTATGAAAGGAACACCCGAGGAACCATGTTGTGGTAAGTGTTGCTATTTTAATTGTCAGCTTCCTATGGCTGAAAAGTCCTGCTCATATGACCAGTAAAGCTTACACATGCTTGTAATCCTTTCTCCCACATACTGTAATGGATTAATGCATAGTCATCTATTATGTGACATTAACATATTTCATCATCAAACAAACTTCACAATACTTACAAAAACATCTGCCTAATTGGATATGGGGAAGGAAATGTTCTTTGTTTGTGCATCTACCTGGATGTGAAATGAAAATGCAGTGAAATTTGAAAGCTTTTGCTTATAAACTTGTTAATTACTTTTATGGCCTTTGTCAATAGTGGAACTGTTAGAATACCCAAAACATGCAGGCACAGTGGACGATAATTAATGTGCTTGACTTTTAGATGATATTAACTATTTACAGAGAGTAAACTGATATTACTCAGTGAGATATTAAATATCATATATCCAAAAATGCCAACCAGCATGATTTAGGCATACTGATTATGATATATATATATATATATATATATACACACACACACACACACACACACACACACACACACAC